TACCGGTTCTATTTCATTGCATGCTTAAGTGGATTCTATGTCTACCCATTCCCCTTAGCGTTTTCTTTATAGATTCTCCTCGTCTTTTCATTTCTTTTTAGTGCTAGCTTAATCATTTCTCCTTATTAGAACTAGCTTAATTGGTGGTAGTAATTGTGGTGTTTAACTGTCCCTTAGGTTGACCTTATACTTTTCACTAGACTTACTTTAGTATCTTGTCTAGGTTATAAATTGTTTTGGATTAGGGAATTAGTAACGAAAATTTTCCCTTAACCACCGGTCGCTGCCAGCACACGCCGACAACAGTAACAGCCGCAAGGAGGCGACAACAGGCTGTCCTCCCCTCCCTTCATGTGTGCGTTTGTGGTTTTGCCAAAAAAAAAAAAAAAAAAAAATTAAGTTTTGATAAATTATGATTGTATATGTTTTGTGATGAATCTATGATGAATTTAATAATGATTTACATAGGTAATTTTTAGATTTGATTTTATATGAAAAAGCCCCAAATTAATTAAACGCTAGGTTTCTAAATTGATGTTTATTTAAGGAAATTAATTGTGGTTGATTTGTATAATTGAAATTGATGTTTTTAAATCAAATTACAACAAGTTTAAAGGTATTTATATTGCTGGAATTTTTATAAGAGAGGCTAAACTAAGGTTTTCTTGAAAGGATTTTAATTACCCATTAATTGGAATAAAACTAAGTGGTTCTAAATAATTTTTTGCATGTTTATTTTGAGAGGTTTAAAAGTGTTTTAATGTGTGTTTATATTGCTAAAAATATAATAAGAATAGGTATTAATGTCTCTTGATGTTTGTGGGTTGTAGGAGACTTCCAAGTGAGTGATTTCGTTTAGTCGTGGCGATTTTGAGATCGTATTCAAGGTACGTTCGCGTACTAGGTGCTTATTAAAGCGTGTAGAAGCATGCTAGGATTTTTTGAAAATAATTCCAAGTTAGTATCATGCTAGGGAATGGTTGCAATTGTTGAATTGGATTGGTTTTATAAAGTTGGATTGGTTTTGATGATTGGTTTATGAGGCATGATTTATTTGAAAGAAATTATTGTTGGCATTTATGATATTTGGAATAATGTATATGACCAGAATTTTATTATTGGCATGTCATAAGGCTTGTTTAATTAAACTACATGTTTAATTTGGTTTGGATTAATGAAAAAGAATTTTATTATGGTTCATATAATATTTATTGATGCAATAAGTATGGGAATTGAACTATTTAAGTGTCTAAGTACACAAGGATTTAATTATATTTTGGTGCCTATGAGCAATTATGGTGTTTTAAACATCGAGGGATAGGATTTGCGGTGCATTATGCGCTTAAGGTGTTTCAACACCGAGGTAGTTCAAAAAGGATTCAACATTAAATTATTTGTGGTCACTAATTATTCAAGAATTAAATTGAAATGTTTGATTGATTAATTGAATGACTTGTATTGATGGATTGTTTGGTGGTTTAAGAGTCATCACTTAGTTTAAAAAATAGGAAAAATACACTTTAATAATCTCAACTAAGGTTTATTATCTAATATTCCCAACTATGCTATGTGTTTGCCTCTAATAGTCCTAATCGGTCAACACCAACTCAACGACCTGTTGTAATAGGTTACCATGACACGTGTCAACACATGATTAGTCCAAAATTTAAAAAAAATTAAAAATAAAAAAAAAACCTAAAAAATTCCTAGCCACCTTCCCCCACCGCGAAACCCTAACCGTTCCCCTAAACTTGCCGGATACCGTCCGACCACCCCCCTGACCACCGAAATCGGTCGTCCGGCCTTCTACGACCCTAATTAACCTAGCCTCAACCCCAAAACCACCTGCCCAACCACCCCGTTCATTGGTTTCATTGGACTTGTTAGTGTTTTTGGGATTAGGGTGGCTGGGTAGCCTACAACAACCCAAAAGCAATGCACAACAGTTGTCCCACATAACCTCGACAGCCACGCACCACTACTTGCCACCAACAGAGCAACTCTCGCAATCCCCTGCTTCCCCTATTCACCAACAACAACAACAACGAACAACATCAAATGCAACCACTGTCACAACCAGCCCACACGCAATAACAGCCACCACCACAACCCCTGTAACCGTCGCACCCACAGCAGCCTACTACCCCCTGCACCTCGCGAGACACCACCTCGCACTCTCCAAATCCATAACCAACCGCAACCCCTTCTCCGCTAATTATCCACCTGAAAATATCAATTTGTTATTAATCTCATCAATACTCGTCTCCAATTGCACCAATTGCACCAATTTTCGGCGAGTTTAAGTTTTCGCGATGGAGTTGGTTTTGTTAGACTTGGTGGTTTTTGGGATTGGGGTGGAGGTGGTTTCGGGGGTCGTGGATAGGTCAGTTGGGGTTTTAGAGGGCCGGCCAGCCAGTTTCAATGGTTAGGGGGAGCAGCCGATCGGTTTTTGACGAGTTTAGGGGTGGGGCTAGGGTTTCGCAGTGGGCGAAGGTGGATGAGATCTTTTGGTTTTTTTTAAATTATGTTTTTATTTATTTTTTTTTTTATTTTAGAGCAATCATGTGTTGACATGTGGCTATTAAAACCCCAACCCCCCCCCCAATCCCGCAAAAAAAAAAAAAAGAAACCGTTTTAGTAGGTTACTGATCATTGGGATCATTGGAGGCAAACACATAGCATAGTTGGGATTATTAGATAATAAACCTTAGTTGGGATTATTAAATGTAAATCGCCCATAGTTGGGATTATTATAGTGTATTTTTCCTACAAAAATATGTAAACAACGTAAAGTGAATGAGATTATGCACCAAAACTCTTGGAACGTATACACCTAGAGTATGAACATATAGGGGTAATTATGGGGTTTTATACTTAACCATAACTTCTACTAGAAGTACATAAAGCATTATTTTCATTTTTATTTTGCACAGGAATTCTGCCACTTACGAGTGGTTCTTTTTATACAAGCACGATTAACTCCTTTATTGGGCCATGTTTGGGGGGAAACTCGTTCGATTCGTAGTCAAGTTAATAAGCAATTGAATTGTCTAATGTCTGAATTGTTTGTTGTGTGCTTGTAAACAGGTGCAAAAAGGTAAGTTGTGTGATGCTAGGTTGTAAGCATGTTAGTGTGTTTCGTTTACGCTTATGTACTTAGCATTGCTGATTATGTGTTTGTGTGTTTGTTGGCCTTGTCTTTAGCTTGGCCATACAATGACCCATTTCTTATGGCGAGTAGTGGGGACAAAGTAAAGAGAAGTTTTTCAGGTGATGCAGCATATTCATGTTCGAGCATGAGTGAAGAGCGAATCTAATTTGGTTTCTTTAAGAATATGATTTGTTTTATTTTCTTTATTATTGTTTATTTTATTTGTTGGACTAACGTATTGTATTAAATATTGGTCGGGTTTTGAAAGGGCCTACAATAGTTTCAAGTTGTAGGTTGACTTTGTTTGCCTTTGGTTTAACTTTACTTTCGTTTGGCTTAACTGTTGAAGTTAATTTTATGCTTTAAAAAGGATTTTGAAACGAGTCTTCTGTTGTGTGTCTTTGATAATTGTCTTACCCGTTATCACAATGGCGGTAATGTCTTAGATTTTTCTATTTCGAATTTTAAAAAAAGCAAAACAAGTATTTTACAGGAAAGGGATTTCTAGGGTGTTACATAATTGTCCAAATTCACTCTAGACTTGAAAATTTGTTCAATCACAACCCAAATTTTGTCCAATTTGTTTGACCGCCATGGGAGGCCGCTTCAAGGTGCTTTAATTGCAAAAATTATTGTTATTGAAATTTTGAAGGTTGGTATTGAATGGGATATTGTTACTTCTATGAGTGATTGGGAGCGAGGTTGATCAACTTAGTCCTTGTCAAGCCCGTCAACCTGTAGTGGATGCTTTTATTGCTTTCTTCAATTTCAACCTAACTATTTATTTAGCATAAAAAGCTATTTCTCTCAACAATAGATTGAAAGCAAGAATCGTAAGTGCCATTTTAATTTTGATCTTAATTTTGGAGTACAAAATTATTAAATGTTCAGTTTGGGAAAATTGAATGTTCAATTTAATATTACACATAAGATTACTTATTATTATCACTTAAACACAAAGATGATAATGTACCAATTACATTGAAAATTGCTAGAAATAAAATGTGAAAATCCTACGCCTACAATAGATCCAACCATGTTAAATGATATCAAAAGATGAGCCAAGTCAGTTATAGTTTGTTCCTTATTTGAAATCATCAAAATATACATAGTGGATGTTTATTTTGTTCATTTGGTAACAGACAGATGTTCATTTGTGTTAATAATGATGTTCATTCTCATATAAGGCTTGAGGGAATCATTTGTTCGTTTTTTAAGTTGAGGACGTTCATTTTGTTTTCAAAGCATGCTCAATTTACTTATTTAAAGACATGAAAATTATTAAATGTTGATATTAGATGTTCAAGACCATAAGAGTGAATGTTCATTTTCATATTAAAAGATGATTAAAATACATTTTGGATTCAGTTTGGAAATATTTTTTGTTCATTTTCACAATTAGGGAGGTAGCTTCAAAATACAATAATCAGTTGAAACTAAAAATCAAAATAAGGAAACTTCAATCAAAAAATGTTGTAGGAATACTAAGGTATCAAAGAGTTCATTACTAATCTATATATAAATCTTCTATACACTGTTATCTTCTAATGAATACTTTTATTTAGTTTCAACAAAGAAGAAGAAGAGGTCACATTACAAAGAATAAAATAATTAAAAAATTTGATAAATAACATGAGAAGGAAGAGGTAGATATTTCAAGAAATCTAGTAAAAATTCCAACAAAAATATTGAAAAGGTTCGACAATATATTTTGTTCATTATATATTAAGATTTTGTTCACTATATGTTCAGTTTTTGTTCATTAATCTAATTCGTATTTTATATACATACACATATATATATATATATATATATATATATATATATATATATATAGAGAGATTGGATCATGTAAAAACAAACCTTAAGCTGAAAACTGAAAACAGATGATCTAGACCATTGAATTTTTATTTTGTAATCTTGACCGTCCATTCTCTCTGCTCTATTTTTATCTTTCTTCAATCTCACGATCTCACTATTTCTCTCTCCTCCTCCCAAAAAATCATCAAATTTCAGAGGAATTTGCTTCAATCTTCATCAATAATTTGCTTCAATCTTCATCAATTTCGTCTTTAGCTTCAAAATTGAACCTGAAAAGTGAGTTTTGCGTTTCAACAATCAATTATGTGAGTTAATCATTTTCGTCGCTGAATATTCATCCCATTGAAGCGAGTTTTGAGCTTTCTCCTCCATTGAAGCGAGTTTGAGCTTTCTCGATCCTCCATTGAAGCGACTTTGAGCTTTCTTCTCCATTGAAGCGGCTTCTCAGGTAGTATTTCTTAAATTATCGACTATCAATTTCACAATCTAGGGTTTATTGCTAGTTAATTGCTCGAATGTTTTTGTTATGGAATATAAATTGTTGTTTGGATTCGAAATTTGTTGTATAGCATGCGATTTTGTGACTTTTGCTCATCAATTTTTTCGACTTTTTTTCATCAATTTTGTTCGATTTGTTTGATTTTGCAATTTCCTGTTCGATTTTGTTCGATTTCCTGTTTGATTTTGCTTGGTTTTTGTTCGTTTTCATTTGTGATTTTTGTTCAATGGCAAAAACCTAATGTTCCTGGATTACTTGATGAAGTGAGAATAGGTCAGAATGTTGTTGTCATTTCTTGTAAATTGAAATTGTGATTATCTGTGGATACTACATTCAGAAATGGAGAGGCAACAATAAAAGCCTTTGTTTCGGTTAGTTTGTCTCTTGGAGACCAGCCGCTTGCTGCTCAATTTCAGGAAATTCCTGCAGAGCTTCGGATGTCAGAAGCTGAGAGGGTTGGATGTAGGCACAAGCACTTGATATATATTTTTGTCAAAATAATGAAACCACCTAATTAACAATGCTAATTTGTATTTACTTGTTATATACTCTGGAGAGGTTGCTGGCTTTAATTGAAATGGACCAAAGCAAACCTGATTTGAAATGGATTAACGCAATTCCTATCAACAAGAACACAGTAAGTTATGGCCTTTTAATTTGAAGTTAATTAGAAAGTGAAATTAGCCTAACAGCCTTACCAAAAGATGACCATCACCTCAAGTATGACCCCACCTGTATTTGAATTGACCCTACTACTACTGCTTGAAGTTATGCTATGCCTAATAGTGGCAAAAGTTATACAGTTTATAAAGTATATAATGTATGATATTGGTTTTTGATTCACTAATGCCTAGTAATGGCAAAAGTTATACAATTTATAAAGTATATAATTTATGATATTGGTGTTTGATTCACTAATGCCTAATAATGGCAAAAGTTATACAGTTTATAAAGTATATAATGCATGATATTGGTGTTTGGTTCACTAGTCCTCTTTGGCTCTGGTGGTGGCTTTCAAGATTCTTGAAACCAGAGGTCTAGGGTTCAAGGACTGGTGGAAAAACAGCTACAGAGGAAAGATACTAGATGAGGTATTACAAAACACCTTCCTTTTGATTTTTGATATAATTGTAAATTAGTGGTATGCTGAGTATTACTGTATTGCTTTACTGCCTTTTATTTTGTTGTGCAATTTTAATTTTATAAATAGTATGTCAATTACTAGCATTGCTAGATTGTTACACTGCACGGACATAATTACTTCATAGAAAAATTATCTCAGATTCTATTTCTCACAAAAGAATGAACAAAAATGAGGGTCATTTGGCTTGTTGCTAATCAATCACCCTTTCATTATTTCAGTGCAAGTTCTGTGGCAGGGAGGGTACTATTACAATGATACCAAAATCTGGCCGCTATCTAACAGGTGATGACTGTGAAGCTGGAAAGTTTGTCCGTTTGATGAGCTTTGATTGCCGGGGTTTGGAGCCAGTGGACTACTCCTTTGGTGGTGACAAGGAGGAGCAGGAGAAATTATCCGATGACAAGGAGGAGCATGAGAAATTATCTGATGACAAGGAGGCCAGAGAAGGAGAAGTTGATGATAATTACCTGATAGGCTTATCGCGTACCTAACAAAAATAACCTAACTATTCCTTCTAACTATGTAGTAGGGCAAGTAAGGATCGAATCCCAAGAGACTATGGTTCATTCAATTAATCAGACTCAATTAATCACTAAGCACGTGACCAATCAATAATGGATGATAATAATCAACTAATTTATTAAATAACACAATTAACTAGAGGAAATATTAATCAATAAACTAAAGCATCCAAGATCAAGCATCACCACGATTATGATTGATAAACTAATAAATCTACCCCCAATATATAAATCAATTGACAAGAAGAAAAGCAATCCCTAATAATAATACCAAAGGTCTCTTCCGAGTTATCAATGGCTTCCCAAATTAACTATCAAGCCTACTTCCGTGGAATCAAGCGAATAAGGGACATTAAACACCATGCCTAGATTCCTAATTATTCAATCATCTACTTCCGTGATGATCTTCAAACCCTTAATTGAAATAACCTAATCCCGTTAATACCCAACTTCCGTTGCAATAAGAACAAAGGGATGATAACAATACTAATTATCCCTAATCTAGTATTGGCATAAACACAATCAATTAAGCATGTCAATTGGGATTATTATTGGGGAATTTAAAGATCTACTTTATACATCAATCATAATCGGGCTTAGCAAGATCCCGGATTAAGGAAACTACTCACAAATCATAATTAAATCAAAAACAAGATCTAATAGAGAACACATAATTAAAGAACTATAAAATAAATAAAAGAGATGGAAAGTAAGAAATACCAAATACTTCAATTGATGATCTTGAATTCTTGAGGAACAATTAATAAAACTAGGATTAAAGATTGAAATTGCTTAAGAAAATAAAACTAGGGTTCTTGAGAGTTTTCTAGGGCTTAAGGAGAAAACTAATGAAAAACTAACTGTCTAAAAGTTAATTACAAAAGGGTATTTATACCCCCAAAAGATAATATTTCGGAAAAATAAGAAAATACGCGTTCTTGAGCTTTGCCCGGTCTGACCGGGCGGACCTCGCCCGATCGGGCGGAGGAAGGCTGCGTAAAATACGACAGTTTTCCTTCTTTGCCCGGTCTGACCGGGCGAACCTCGCCCGGTCAGGCGCGCGTAACACGTTTCCAAAATTGCATCTCATAACTTGATTTCTTCATCGCCCGGTCTGACCGGGCGAAGCCTGCCCGATCGGGCATTCCACATAAATTTCAGTTCTTGGCTATCAACTCTTCCGAATCTACTAAAAACACGTCCAATTGCCTAGAAACGCTTCATATTCCTGAAAAGCTTACTAAAACAATCGAATACACTAAAGAAGAGATTGTTAGCAAGAAATAGCTCCGTAGAGCTCAAAACCATACAAAATCATGCAATAAAACCGGGGAAAACCATTGTATAAAACACGTATATCATTACCTTACTTTTGTAAATAGTGACATCTATATAAATGTGGTCAATGTTGTCAAAATTTATATAATTACCTTATTTTCGATATAATGACCTTAGATTTATGGAAATGTTGTAAATTTTGGTTCAATCACCTTATTTTTATATATAGTGACCTTTATTTTTGTATATAGTGACCTTTATGTAAATGGTGTCAAAAACTCAGATATAGTTACTTTATTTTTGTATATAGTGACCTTAATGTAAATGTTGTAAAAATTGTTATAGTTACCCTATTTTTGTATATAGTGACTTCTATGTAAATATGGTCAAAATTGATATAATTACCCTTTTTTTGTATATAGTGACTTCTATTAATAGGATCAAAATTGATATAGTTACCCTATTTTTGTATATAGTGACAAATGTTGTAAAAATTGATATAGTTACCCTATTTTTGTATATAGTTACGTTATTTTTATATATAGTGACTCTATGTTATTTTATTTTTTTTTAAACCGTTAGATCTTGTTAGTAACAATGGATGGTTGAGATTTTCTGTTTTTAGTTTTCACCATAAGCCCTGTTTTTAGCGGAACCTCCCCGTATATATATATATATATATATATATATATATATATATATATATATATATTAGCAAATTGGAGGAAGTTTAGTTAGAAGTTTTGGAAAAAAAAAAGTATGTTGTCATAATGATACAATAGATGTTCATATTGATTAAGTTTAGATATTATTCATAGTTGTAGATAATTTTAGTAATGTTCATAAGCTTAGCATTAGTTATTCATAATCTTAACTCTTTCTTTAAATTGAAAGAGTTCATATTAAATATCATTTTGTTCATCTCACAAAAAAGAAAAAAAAAAGTTTATGTTGATATGCATTATGTTCATGTGATCTTTCTCTTAATAATTTACAAATGTTCATATATATATTTAATGGATTGTTCACATACATTTATTATATGTAATGATCATTAATAATATTTAATGTCAATAGGTACAATGCAAAGACCTCGAGTATTTTGAACAAGTCCAAAAAGGCAACATCAAAAGACAAAAGAATATCAAAACAAGACTACATTGCATGGAAAAAAAACATGTTCAAGTAAAGGCTCTCAAAGAGAGGGCAACTAAAATGTTCTTTTTTGTTTACAAAAAAAATGTTCAATTATATAATATTAATATTTGATGTACAATGTTTTATGGTATCAAAGTGTCTTTTCCTTGTATTAAAAATGTTCATTTTTATATAACGTAATATTAGTTTCAATTTTTCAATTTTTAATATTAATTGTTCTATTGCCAAACGAGGGATCAACCAACTTTTGCTGGTCGGGAGTCTAGCCAAAAAACTGCAAGTTTTGGGTTTTGTACAACTCTCTTTGGATCGTTTGCCAATTATGGCCCAAGAATGTGTTTCTGGTAGGCTTAAATATCACTGATGAGTTTTTAGGTTGTCTTTACCTTCTTTTTATAGCTTTCTTTCTTAATAAATGCTTAGTTTTGTTCATTACTTTCTTCATTCTTGTTTATTTTGTGTTTTTGTTTACTTTTGTGGATTTTCTCGTGTTTTCTCCTTTATTTGTTCTATTTTCGGGGCTGTAGGTATTATATGAGGTTCGGGTCTTGATATTGGTGGATTACCAGGTTAGATGATGTCTATGGTGCAAGTTTATAGCATTTGGAAAGCTCAAGAGATAAGAAGATAGCATGCTCCTAGTTCAAGCTCTTGCGCTCTCAGCCCGTGCTCTCATGAACGATGGTGATAAACCCACCATACGCTCCATTTGAATATGCCATTCTTGGTGACTATCACAAAGATATTGCGTGCGCACACGAGAATCCATTTGCGAGCGCAAGGAGCTACGAAGCTTCGAAGAAACCCAGACAAGCGCGGGCGCAAACCTCGCTTGTATTTACCGTTCCTGGTGGTTCGACCATTGACTTACCTCTAAACTTGTATTTTGGTTTGTTAAGTGATTATAAATATTATTTGGCTATAGGTAGGATTAGTCAACGACCTACTTTTCCCTACGTCAAAATGGCACCGTTACTGGGGAACGGTGTCTATGTTTGAGTGTTTTTTACTGCTTCAATCCATGGTCTTTGTATATACTTTTCTTTTATTTGATTTTTGTTTGTTTTGATTAAAAAATGGCTAGTCTCTCATTTCCTCAATATGACATTGAGCCTTTTTGTGAATATTTCTATAGACTTGAGCGAGTTCTTGATTATAATTGTTGTAGTCTTTGGGAGGCATGTGAGGTTTGTTATTTTGGTTTGAATGAGAAAACTAGGGATTTAGTTGAAAGCATGCATAATGGTGAATTTAGAGCATTGTCAATTGATGATGCTTGGGATTTCTATGTTTGGTTTGCTTGGGATGTTTATAATAGGGGTAATCATGATTCTAATATTGATGTGCAATGTCTTGATTCTTCTAATATTAGCATGAATTCCCATGATTTGTCACATGATCCCATGATTGAACCTAGAACAAATGATTTCAACTTTATTTCCTCTTTTGCTCATGATAATGAGGTGCATTCTCAAGTTGATGCTCATGGTGTGTTTTAATATTCTTCATTATTTACCATGTCTTCTTGTAATGTGTTTTGTTCCCTCAATGATGAATCTCGTGTTCTTGATTGTGCCCCCTCTCCCCAAGGTGATAAATATGCTCATGATTTTAATGTTGATGCTTCCAATCTTGGTTGTGATCCTTCTTCCCTTGTTGAACCTCAACTTTCTACACTTTTTGAGTCTCTTATTGACATCATTAAATCTCAAATTAGGCATGTTGAGCTTGATAATGATCTTCGGCTTAATAAGGAGTTGTTTCTTTATTCTATGAAAAATCAATTGGAGATGATGAAAAGGAGTGAGGAGCGTATCGAGGAAGCAAGAAGGAGAAATGGAGAGCTAGAAAGGAAATTGTTATCTTTGATGCTTGTTTGTGAAAATTCCAAATCCAGTGTGTGTTTTGAGGATGATGATGATGTTTTTGAGCAACAAAGAGTTTATGAGGATCCTATTAGTGAGCATAGGAGTGAAGGAAAGAGAGTTGAGAGTGATGATGATGATGATTTTGTGAATGTAAACTCCCCTTCATATGTTGATTGTGATTAGTCTCAAGTGCATGATTGTGATTCTTTTATCCATGAGTATTTGGAGTCGTTTGAGGTTAATATCCAAAATGTTCTTTGTGGTTCAAATGAAAAATAATCATAGACTTTTGAATGAGTTCATTGAGAATGCTTCATGGGAGAGAGATGAGCTTGAAATCAATTTGCATCCATTCATGCATGGTTTTGAGACTTTGGGCTTTGAGGATATTAAGGGAGTTGTTGTTCATTTTTGCGACGGAGAGGACGATGTAGTTTATTTCTCCTGGAAGTTGGATGTTTGAGGGAGATGAAGGTCATGAGTGTCTTTCTTTTGAAGATTCTATGATTGATTTCTATGCGCTTATTAGAGATGTGAGGAATAATGGAGAAGAAGAGACCATTTATGAGACCATTGCTCCTATTCCCTTTGCTCATGTCCCTTTTTCAAGGAAATTT